GTCCCCGCTGGATCGAGTCGGCGAGATCATCAGTCGCGCGCAGCACCGCTGTTCCACCCAGGAGGATTAGAAAACGACCGCGCTGTCACTCCTGACCTTCTAGCTAGAGGCGTCGACCACGAACGACCAGCTGCGCTACCGCGACGAGCTCTGAATCCCACTGTTCATCGACGGCGAGGATCGACGTGCCCATTCCAAGCAAGTCTTTAAGCACTCGGGCGGAAGGTTGGAATGAGCGCTCAATTTTGACGCGCGTGCTTGGGCGCTCCCCACCGCAACTGAGGGGCTGATGTCAATGCAGGCGTCGCTGACAGGGGGCCAGGAGACCGCGCGCGCGCGGCGCCCCAGCGGGTCCACGTCGAGCCTGCGGCGGCAGGCCTCCTCCCCCACGGCCCCGCGGACGCAGCGCAGGGGCCGCGGGGATTCGCCGAGGAGCGCGCGGCTGCGTTGCAGAAGGCCACGAACCGCAAAGTCTGGAGGGGCAGCCGGGCACTCCGCCGCGGTGAGATGATCGGCAGCTTCAGGAAGCAATGGGGCAGCAACCGTCTCCAGGCTACACCCGCGAAGCTCTTCCCCACCCACTGCGAGACGCCGCGGCCTCAATCGCAGGGGGCCGAGTGCCCGGGCGTCTACCTGGCCGCCCAGCGGCAGCCAGCGCGAACGCAGCGCGACAACCGCTGATGCGTCAGGGCCCGGTGAAAGTGCAGCGAGACGGCCGAGGAGTTCGAAGCCGAGGGCATCGTTGAGCCTGAGTGGGCCGAGCGCCTCACTTCTTCACTTTCAGGGCCCATCTTTCAACGATCACGGAGCGAACCAGCTCGAGCCAGCCGCCCTGCGCCTTGCCTTCGCACGTGTTACCTCCGCCAAGATGAAATTCAAAATCGGCTGCGGCGGGGGCGGGAAACGCGCCGAATCGCATTTGCAGGAATGCCTTTTCGGATCCGGCCACGCCCACTACCCCGACTGCGGCGCTTTCCAAGCACATAACGAGTGGCGCAAGGCTTGGGGGGGCACCTGGGCCACGGGCGCCGCGCGGATCCTGGGGCGCGATGGCGGCGCCGCGTTCCTGGGCGACATCTGGAAGCGCTTCGTCGTGGATGGGGCGTTCACCTGCCGCGTGATCCACGGCTTCAATGGCATCCGCAAGTTCGACGAGCCCAAGGACTATCTGGAGTTGGACTGGGGGACCAGCCCAACCATCGAATCCTCGGGGAGCAGCGTGAGGGCCCAAGTGCAACTGCAGCGTTGAACCATCTGCTGCCGCATGGGCCGCGCGCAGTTCGTGAACGACCCGAAGGACGTGGATCATTTTCAAAGGAAGTTCATCAAGATCCCCCAGGCAAAGCTCGACCTCCTCTTCGCCAAAGGGTTCGCGCCATGCCTGCCGCTCCGCAACGGGCGCCACTCCTTGCCGAGGGCGAGGGCGGGCCCATCGCCAGCTGCCCCCGCGCGCGCAAGACGACCCGATGGTAATCTGCCCGAGGGCCACTCGGGACACCACGCGGCCGGGCGCCCGCCAGAGCGGCGACCCCCAGAGCAGGGCCGCGCGGGGGCCGCGAAGCTCGTCGCCGCCGCCCGCGCGGCGACGCCGACCCAGCCTGCCCTGAAGGAGTGCTTGTTATCGCCCCCCCCCGCCGGCCAGGGGCTCGCCGAGCGGGGGGGTGCGAGAGGCGAGGGCGCGCCAAGGCAAGTCCACAGGCTGCGGCGCTGCGCCAGGGAGCCGCGGGCCTTTGACCCCGCGGATCCCTCGCTGGCGCAGGCGGCGCAGGCTGAGTGCGATCTGGACAGGCCCCAGGGCCGCAACCTCGAGCATCGCATGCTGGAGCGCAAGCCGCCGTTGGGCGCCCCCCCGCGCGCGCCCCTTTCGAAAAAAAGTCGTGCCGCGGACGGCGAGGGCCCCCCCCCTCTCCCCCCCTGCTCTCTCTCACCTCGAACACCTGATGGCGACCCCGGCAAAGTCCCACCAAGCCGCATCCAGCGCTCCTCTCTCACATCTAGCACCCGTCGGCGGCCCCGCCACCGCCCCGCCGCGCCGCATCCAGTGCTCCGCTCTGTGATTCATCCCAGTCATCGGCGACGCATGCCACTGCTTCGCCTAACCGCCGAGCTCCGCGTTATTGCGCGGGCGCTGGAGACAGCCGCACTGACGCATCATTGCATGCGCGGCCAGCCGATCCTTTGTTGCCCGCGCGGGAGTTCGCAGGAGATCATTGCGCCTCGGCGCTCCGCCCGCCCCAACATGGGAAAAAGTGCCAGCTCCTCGTCGCCGTGGCCCATCGGGCCAGCGCCCCTCCCAGCCTGAGACGGGGTCATCGCCATCGTCTTCCCGACTTCAGCTCAGGCTGCTATCCGTCTGCCCGCAAGACCTGCGTCTGCAGCCAGACAGCATGCCCGCGCCCAAGTTGTGCACTTGTTGGTGCAGACGCCGCAGCCAGGCAACAGTCCTTCAGTTCGCCCTGTGGGTGAAGACGCCGCAGCAGTTTTTGGCTCGAGGGCGTTGCCGCGGGAGGTGGGATCAGCCCGCTTCCAAAAGCCAGCCGACGGACGCGATGGCGGGCGCCGCTCGGAAGAAGCCAGCCGCCGCGCGCGGCAGGAGCCGCGCCCGCGGCGGCCACGCCCCTCAGACGCGCCGCAACAAGCGCTCGATCCGGGCAGCAGGGCGGAGGCGCGGACGACTGGAGCAGGCCCGCAAGGCGCGGCAGGCAAACATGGCCAAGCGCAAGCGCCTCGAGGCTGCTGGCGTTATCTACGCGCCGACGAACCAGAATATTGCTCGGGTTCGCCGCGGTCGCGCGGCACTGGATAAGGTGTACACTTACGATGACATTCGGGCCGTGGACACGAAGGCTGCGCATGAGTTTCTCGTCCAGGCAGGCTACCTCGGGAAGCCCGATGACAAAGAGTGCCCAAGATGTGGGTGGCCTGTGGGAGCCGTGGTCTTCGCGGGCGAGTGGCACCCCTACCAGCGTCGTTGTCGGTGGGCGCATTGTCCCGTCTACCAGGTCGAGCTCACGAGTGGAACGTGGCAGACGTGGAAATACCGCTGCCGAGGATCACATGCGCTGCCTTCCTCTCATGTGGCCCCCTGGCGACTCGCATTAGCGCCTACGACGTGGCCATCATCGAGAAGGTGGGGCACAATCGATGCAATACGGTAGCGAAGCGCTTGCGCGACATTGCTCCCGACTCCTCCATTGCAGAGCAGGGCATCGCGCTGCCGGGGCAGTGCGATGCTGACGCTGCCGCGCTTCGCGTCGACAAGCCCAAGAACCACACCATGATGCACGTGCAGGCTTCGGCATGTGCAAGCGGGGCGGCCACACGCAGACTATAGGGCCGCCCCCTTACTCGGCCCCAAACGGGCCCACGCGACCCGAGACCACGGCCGAGACGGAGCCCTTGCTTTTTGCGCCACACGGGCAGCGACAGCCTCATTTGGCACACGGACAGCGCCAGGTGCAGTCGGCACCTTGACAACAAGACCCGCGCGAAGCACCAAAAGCGCCACTGGGTTGGCGTGAAACTCGTGGTGCTCAAGGGCGGTGATCTGCTATGTTGCTGCGGCGGCGCTCAGTGTCAGGATGGTTTGTGGAGCAGCATGAAAGCCCACCTCCCCTCGAGGACGAACGCGGCCACGGCGAATGCTCAGGATAACCTTAACAAGTGGATGCACCAGTTGGCGGTGCAGGCGCAGCAACTGCCCCGATGTGTTCTTGGAGTTCGAATCGGTCGTGCACCTTGCCAGGGAGCGTGGCTCCGTATGGTAAGTGGGGCCGTCTGGTGCGCTTCTTTTTTTGGAGGGCAGAGCTCTGTTGGAGGCATGCGCGTTCTTTCTTGATCCGTCTCTCGGAGCCCTTTTTCAGTGTCAGCGGCAACGTTAGAGCTCCAAGCCCGCGCCGCAACGAAGTGCCGCGTGGTGAATCACGGGCACGCGCGCGTGGCGCAGACACATTGTACGCAACTAGGCGCTCGAGAGTCGAACAAAAAACGAGACGGGGGCGGGGTGGGAAGGGAGGGGAGGGAGAGAGAGAAGGAGAGAGAGAGAGAGAGAGAGATAGAGAGAGAGAGAGAGAGTCGGGGGGGGGGAATGAGGGCGGCACTCCCCGACTCTCAACTTGCAGCTCCCCCAAAGTGCCAAGAGGGTCCCGCGCAGGGGTCCCGCGGCAGGAAAAAAACATACCGGCGGATGCCTAGGTCTATACAGGTGCACCTCCTTCCTCCTCCGCCCCCCCGCCCTGTCCGACTGTAATTCGGGGGCGGTAAAGAGGGGGGCGTCCAAGAGGGGGGGGTGCAGATCATGACCGGCGGCATGTGCGTGGCCCAGCGGGGGGGCCAGGGACGTAGTGAAATAAGAAGAGGCGCCATGAAATCTGGGGAAATATCATGGCCCGCGCCATGATATCCCCCCCCCCCTAGTCATCACCCCCCTCTTTTCCGCCCCCGACCTGTCCGACTGTAATCCTCCTTTCTGGGAGGGGGGGAGGGGGATAACGAGGTGAACCTGCATTGTCATCCTCCTCCGCGGCCAACGCCGCGCGAACCTCCGACCCCAGAAGGCTCCCCAGGCCCCCCGCAGGCCTCCAGCCCAGATCTCCGACGACGCAATATGCTTCTCCGCGCCGCGGGGCCCCAAGGGGGGGCACCGCCCTCCTCCCGATAGGCCAGCCCTGCATCCTGCATCGTGTCGTCGACGCTTCCGGGACGGCCTTCGTGAGGCCTACCCCCAAATGGGCGACGATCAAAAAGCGGTCTTACGCGAGATGGCATGGCGACCTTACGCGGTGGCTTACGCGGTCCACCAGCGCGGCACGCTGCATTGGAAGCGAGGGCGCTTACGCGCGAACTCACGCGGGCAGCTTACGCGCCAATGTCGGCGCCGACGACCCCGTTTTTCGGCGTCGCCCAACTGGGGTGGGGGAGATGGTAGGGGTCTGGATGGGGATGGGGATAGGGGATGAGAGCCGTTAAACGATACTGGATAGCAACGCCCAAGGGCGCTCCTGGAAGGCCGGGGCGACGAAGCGGACCAGGCCCGCACCGGCCGGCACCAAGAACGGCAGCAGCGACAGCTGCCCGGCCTCTGGGAGGGGCCACTACAAGCCTGCGCCAAGTCGCCCCGTCGGGTGAGGAGCTCGGGAGCTCGGAGTCCGTGCAGACGCCCCGGCTTCCCAGGCTGTGGGACGCTGGAAGGTCTACACAAGAGGAAACAAGCACACGATACTGCGCGAACCTTCGGAGCTCCGCGCGGGTTGCTTGGATCGGAGCTGGACCCCCTCCCCGGCGCACGGCGCGCGCCGGGGGCGGCGCCAGAGGCGCCGCCACGGGGGCCCAGCGCCGATCCACGAACTCCGCGCAGAGAGCCGACAAATTTCTGTTCATGCCGTTCTTTGTCGTTGGATGTTCACCGAATCCCGTCGCAGCGTTCTGTGGCTCCCTGGCCGACCAGACGACGCGGTGCACCCAGACATCCGGCATCTGATTAGTTTTCAATGCGCGGCCCGCGTATGTCCCGACCCATCCCGACCCCTTCCTGTCGGGTGTTGCTAGAAGTGCCTCTGGGACAAGGTGCCCCCAGGATTCTCGGGGTAGCCCAAACCGCCTCCAAAGCACCCCTCACGAGGCCCAGAGGGCCCCATGGGCTCCAAAATGGAGCGAAAAGCTGGGGGCACCTTGGGCCAGGGGTACCTCTAGCAACACCCGATCCTGGGGGCCGACAACGGCCCCAGAGGTCCAGGTTTGGCGGCTCCGAAGGACGTGGCTTGCAAAGGGTGTGGTCTGCAGCCCGCGCCCGTGGGGGACGGGCGAGGACCTCAACGAAGGTCTCTGCCGCGCCTCGACGAGAGCTCAGCCAACCTTTGGTGCAGCGTGGTGACCCCCACAGCCCCAGCGGCGCCGATCACAGAGTACAACCCGGCGTAATCACACTCTTTGTAGTCGCCAACAGATGTCGAAGAGGGGATCGACTGCAAAGTTGATGCACCCCAGAATTTATTGGCTTGTCGAGTCTACGAGACATGCGTTGAGTGTACAGAAGATCTACGAACTTCCTACGCACGGCTCGTGAAGTCGGTGGGGAAACTAAGTCTTGGGGTGCATCAGTTCTGTAGTCAATCCCCTGCTCGAATATCGAGGAAAAACGCCAGGTTGAAAAAAGCATGCCATCGGATATCTGAACAATGCCACCGCGAGCCCCGCCGGAGGCCTCGCTGTCGGATGCGCACCTGGGGCAACCAGAAGATGCCGCTGTGCCGCTCTTCCCCGGCCTCTCCCAGGGCGTCTTCTGACAAGGACCCCGAGGAGAATCCAATCGTGGCGACGAGGGCCTCCCTGGAGGCTAACAGTGAGAGAAAACGAAGCAAAAGTTGGCGGCGGGCCGGGGGGGAGAGAAGTCTCGAGAAGGGGCGGGCCTTCTCAGAAGGCTCGGAAGTCCCCCGGCCCTCTGACAAGTCTTCTAAGCCCTCCCCGAAGACGGCTCGAGAAAACCTTTCAGAAGGCGCGAGGATTTTTGAGGAGCCCCGCCGCCTTCTGAGAAGGCCTTCTCCGTCTCACTTCCCCCCTCGCTCGCCGCCGAACAATGACAGCAGCATCAGTGCCTTCCCAGACCCCCGACGTCATGAAACTTTCATGATGTCGACCCCGATTGATCTCAACCCATTCCCTGGCACCGGCTTCTCATCCTGAGTCGTTCCTTGACGGCCCCGAGGCCCGGTGAGGGCCCCCAGGAGCCGAAAGCAGCGAACAAACAACGTCGGGATTTCTGCCTGCCTTTACCAGCCTGGAACATGTCCCTATCCCTATGCTGGGCATCTCCTCATCACGATGCCAATCTTAGGGAATCCCTTATTTTGTTGAGGGCGCATCCCTAAGATTGTCATCGCCTTTGGGCGTGCCAATCTTAGGGGTAGGGATACGTTCGAGGCTGGGAATGCCTCGAGGGGGTCTGGGCCTCCCCCCCCCTGTGAGCACCAGTCGCCGCGCTGGAACAGCCGCAGGGCCAGCGAGCGCAGGCCCGGCTCCAGCTGCCCGCGCGCCCCGGGGGCCCCGAGGCGCCCGGCCCGGGCCCAGAGCAGGCCCGCGCCCAGCGCGCAGGCGCCGTAGGCGCCGAGGCTGGACGGCCGAGGCCCCTCGGCAGGGGGTCGAGGTCCCTGACCTTCCAGGAGGGCCAAAAAATAGCACCAGGACCTCGATATCTGAATTCCTGTCGAGGTTTTGAGGCAGCCCAGATAGGTCTGTAGGTCTGGAGGGCTATTTTTTAGCACTCTGGGGAAGGTCAGGGGTACCCACCCCCCCGCGCGTCGTACAGTCGGGGCGTTGACCCAAGGAGCCCTAGGTCAGGAACGGGGCCCCCTGCTCCCATCAGCTGAAGCTCGATTTCCCCTCGAAAGCCTGAGGAAAACCCGAGGCAGGCTGCGAAACAATCCAGGAACACCCAGCCCCTCCCCAACGAAAAGGCTTCCTTCTTCAGCGGCCAGACTGTACAGTGGAGGCCAGTCCACAAGAAACCTTCCACAAGAAACACAGCCCTGAGACCCCCAGGGCGTCCATTGGCTTTTGGTGCGGGAGCGCCACGCTGTCCATGGCAGAACCATCGAAACCCAGGGCACCCTGGAGGCAAGCAGGGTGTTTCTTGGCACACCCAGAGACCCTCGAGTCATGAAAAGGTCACGAAAGGAGGTTTTACAATATTTTCGGCCCCTGGGAGCCCTTGCCATTGCCGGGCCTCGGGGCCGTCAGAAAACGATTCGGGATGAAACACCGGTCCCGGGGAATGGGTCCGAACCTCTTAGAGGCCTCCTTGATGGGGTCCGAGCAGATGGGGTTGGAGGATCGAGCCGCATCGGCGATACGTCAGCAGTACACCGCCGATGGCGATGCGACGTCGGCGGTGCATCCGCGGCGCCAGGGTGGAGAAAATCGGCCTGCACATCGAGCCGCACCACCGAGGCATCGACGATGCGGCGCGATCCTCCGACCCCATCCGCTCCGACCCCACCTGGGAGGCCTGGACCTCTGGGGGTCGCGCGGGGATGAAAGTCGGGACGTCGGGGCCCTGCAGGGTTCTCCGACACCCTCGCGTCGTGCCCTGAGATCCTGGCGAGTTTGCATCTAAATCTTAACAAATCACATCACGCAGTCAGTTCAGGTGGATCGCCAGTCCTTCAGAATAGTCAGCAGAGTGGCAGGCATACAAATCTGTTTTCGATCGACTTTTTCACCGGAAGAGCTGAAAGCAGCCTCTATAGGAGGCAAACAATTTTACATGCCATTTTTTTCACAGCAGGCGTTTGCGCTCCTTTTCGGGCCCCAGGGCCCGCACGGATCGATCCAGCTCGAAAAAGGCCGCAGAAAACCATAGGGTTCGGGGCTCCGGTCGTGACTTCTTGTGATGCTGCAAATCTCGTTTTGCAGCGCCGGATCTCAGGGGAGGCTCCCAGATCCCCGAACGTCGCACAGCAAATCACGGCAACCAATTTTGGGGCAATTCTCGCGCAGCAAAACTGGCAGCTGCTGGTGGCGCAGAGAGGTTGAATTCATTGTTGAGCCACAGGCCGCAGAGTGGGAAGCCGTTGTGAAGGAGTACTGCCACAGTGGCGGCCAACTTTTCCTACACTACTGTGCCGTTTGGTGCACACAGTCTCTTGCTTGCTTGCTTGCTTGCTTGCTTGCTTGCTTGCTTGCTTGCTTGCTCTCGGCCCGTGGAAGGGGCTCTCGCGGGGCCCCGGGTGCGCCGTCGCCAAAAGCGTGCCGGGACCAAGAGATCGGCCCCCGTGGGAGGGAGGCACCGAGGCCTCTGCAGGAGGGCCCCAGACGTGGACCGATCCGTCGGACCGGCGCTCTATGGATGAGTCGGAGCGGCGGAAATCGGCAGCCGAGGCGGGAGAAGCCGCATCGGCGGAAATCTGCAGGCTGGTGAGTCTCCATTGGGTCCATGGAGAAAGCGGAATCGGAGTCCCGAGTCGAGCCGAATCGAGACCGGAAGCCATCGAGGCGGGAGGAGTCGCATCGGCGGAAATCTGCAGGCTGGTAAGTCTCCATTGGGTCCATGGAGAAAGCGGAATCGGAGTCCCGAGTCGAACCGAATCGAGATCGGAAACCATCGAAGTCCCGAGTCGGACCGAATCGAGATCGGAGTCCCGAATCGAACCGAATCGAGATCGGGAGCCATCGAAGTCGACCCGAGTCGAACCGGAGGAATCGCAAAGAGCCCTGCCTCTGGGGGGCCCACGTTGCGCACAACGGCGCGCCGCCGAGCATTGGACGGCCGGGGCCCCTGCAGAGAATCGAGGTGCCCAAGCCTTTGACGATATGACTCGTCGTCGTCGCTGTTCTCGCCGCCTCCGCCGCCGCCGCCGCCGCCGCCGCCGCCGCCGCCGCCGCCGTCGTCGTCGTCGTCGTCGTCGTCGTCGTCGTCGTCGTCGTCGTCGTCGTCGTCGTCGTCGTCGGGGTATTCGTCGTCGTCGTCGTCGTCGTCGGGGTATTCGTCGTCGTCGTCGTCGTCGTCGTCGTCGTCGTCGTCGTCGGCGACGCCGTCGCCGAGGCCCCCTGCGGAGGATCGAGGTGCCCAGGCCTCCGACGGTATGCTGCGCGCTGGCTCCTCCGCGCCTCCTGCCCCGGGCGGCCGCGCCCGAGGCAGGGACGGCCTTCAACCCGTGCAAGGAGGGATAAGCGGCACGTGGGAGCCTCCTGGATGGGGTCCGAGTGGATGGGGCCGGAGGATCGCGCCGCATCGCAAGATGCATCAGCGATGCATCGCCGCTGTCGGCGTGGGGAGGATCGGGCTCCGCATCGATCCGTGCAGGAGGCCCAGAATGACGATGCAAGCGCCTTGGAAGGCCATGTCAGCACTTTGCGAGCGGGGCGCGGCCAGCGAAAGCGGCCAAGGATGGGCCGCAGGGGAGGGATTGCACGGGGTAGCCTTGGAACGTTGCCCATCCTTACGATGCGCGTCGACCCTATGCTTCCTCCGTGGCGCGGCCGCGGGCGCCTGTGCTGTGACGTGCCTCTGCGCACTGAAACGGGCCCAAGGCTGCCCTCGCCGAGGTTCCCAGCAGCGTCGTGGCAAAGTCACTGCAGGAGGACGCTGCCAGTTGTCGGCCCAGGGGGGCCCTCGCCGGGCCCCGGGGCCCGTCCAGAGAACGACTCGGGGTGAAGAACTGGCCGCGGGGAAGAGGTCTATAGACCTCTGGGGGCCCACGCGTTGTGCACCAAAATGCTACATCCGGAATCTGAGTTCGAGCGCAGAATTTGTGTCGGCCGATTCGTGCCCGTCGCGGGCGGGTCGCGGGCGGGTCGCGGGTGGGTCGCAGGTGGCTCGCGGGTGGCTCGCGAGAGGGACGACGACAACAACGCAACGCAACCCAACAAGAATCCGGAACTTCACTTCAGCCACGCACCCAGGGACAGTGAATGACCGTTCGGCCCGCTCACTCTGATATACGGAGGGGGCGCGGACAGCCGATGCCGATGAACCGCGTGCCGCCTGTCTCTTCGCAGAGCTGGAAGACGGGCAAGTTCCCGCCGTAACGGCGGCGGCCGGGAAAAACCATGAGGCCTCGTCGCAACGGCGGCTGGCTGCGAGAGCAGAGCCTCCAAGAAGCGCACGCAGCAGCGATTTCTCGAAGAGCGTCTCGCCAGAAGCAAGCGCGAATTGCGCTTCGCTGGGACGTCCCAAGAGTGGCGGAAGGGACAGCAGAGGAGTACCATAAGGAGGGTACGGGGAGCCCCAGACCGCCTGGCCCGGCAGCCGATTCGCCTGAGACTCCCTCGCAATCCACCCAGGAGGCGTGCCCTCGCCCCGGTGCTGGCCACATGTCTGGTCCAGACGACCACGATCCCCTCGACAACACCAACACACACACACACACACACACACACACACACGCACAGAGAGGTGCACATGGCCGTGTCTCGAGCTCCTGCTCCTCGACCCGCCCCTTTCGCATTTGCCGCTGCTACTACTATAGGGGAAGAAAAAGTGGCATAAACATAAAAACTCGGAGGTCCGCGCGGATTTCTCGGATCGGCGCTGGGGCCCCCCGGCGGCGCCTCCGGCGCCGCCCCTGGCGCGCTCCGCGCGCCAGGGAGAGGGTCCAGCGCCGATCCGAGAAATCCGCGCGGATCTCTGAGTTTTTATGTTAATGTCACTTTTTGTTCCCCTATACTACGGCCTGGGCCCTGGAGACACGCTAGTTACGCCCTGCAAGCGGAAAGTTCGCGCGTCGCCCAGCCCCGGAAAGGCTCGGAGCATGGGGCGTGAGGCTGGGAAAGGCTCGGGACATTGACGCGCGGGGAATTGGGACGTGGATAGCGTGTCGCGCCGAAGCGTGGTGGGGCAGAACCGGCGGATCTTTTGTGTGACATCAACGGCCACGGACTCCATTAGATGAGGCAAAAAGTGGAGAGACCGACTGTGGCCACGACCCTCGTGGGGTGGAGTCCCTTGCCGAGAGCTCTCCAGGAAGCACACTTGTGCGGCGCGGCGAGAGGAACGCAACGCTTGCCAAGCTTGCCCAAACGAGCCCCCGAAGTGAAGGCGCCGCAGGCCTGGCAGAACCTGCGGGGCGGCAACAGATCGCGAAACATCCCGACCGGCCCTGGACCCCACCTTGCTGCGTCACTTGCGGAGCCAGATCGACCTGTCAGGGCCCCGCGGGGCCCGAAATCCAGCGCGAGCGCCTGCTGTGAACAAGCTGCATCGCCAGGACTTCGGGGGTAGGGGTAAAACTGCATAGCCCTGCACAGCCCTGCATGTCCCGCAGGGGTAGGGGATCTCAGCCTCCATAGCTGTGGGGAGCGTCGGAGGAGGAGGAGGAGGAGGGGGAGGAGGAGGAGGAGGAGGAGGAGGAGGAGGAGGAGGAGGAGGTAAATGGGTACCTTTGCCTCCTCGGACCTCGGGCGCCTCCGCCTCCTCCTGCAGCAGCCAGCGGCACAGGAGCTCGGCGAGGCCGGGCCACAGCGGCTGCCGCGGCCCCGCCAGCTCGCGCACGCCCGCGGCCAGCTCGCGCGCCCTCTCCCCGTGCTCCGCGCCCTCGGAGGGCGACGACGACGACGACGACGACGACGACGACGACGGCGACGACGACGACGGCGACGACGACGACGACGACGACGACGACGGCGACGACGACGACGACGACGACGACGACGACCACGACCACGACGACGACGACCACGACGACGACGACGACGAGTACGGCCAGCTCTCGGGAAGTAGCGGGGTCCTGCAGGAAAGGTTTTTCGGGGGACTCCAGAGGTCCTGGGAGGTCCCCGGGGCCGTCAAAAAAACTGCTCGGGAGGAAGGTCTGGAGGAAGACACCGACGAGGAGGGCAACGACGGCGACGGTGACGGTGGTACGGTGAGGGCACTGGGGAAAGGAAGCGCTGGACAAGGGACTCCGGGTCGGGAAGCCAGCGGAACTCCAAGTCGGGGGCCGGCCTCGGACATCACCGCCGCCCTCGTCAGATGGGGAACCTCCCGGGGTCTGGCGCCTCCTGGGCGCCTCCCTGAGCCAACGAACCCACCGTACGGCTTCGGGCTGCGCACCGACAGCCCCGCCGAGGCAGGGCCACGAGAGCGCGGATCGAGAGCACGAGCCCCCTTGTGCCGAAATGCCAGAGCGAGGCACACCGTGAGGTGGGGGGGGCCGAACGGCGAAGAACAGAAGGGCACCCCTCCGAGACCTATGCTGTTCTTAGCCATCGTGCCCGCCGAGGCCGCCCCAGACAGCTCGGGGGGCCTCTTTTGAGGCCAGCCGGGGCTACCTACAGGGGCTGTCTTTGCGCAAACCGAAGCCCTAGAGCGACGATAACGAAACGGAGGAAGACCCTGACGTCGTGCCTATGTGAAAAACACTGCGGACGGTTTTTGATCTTGTTCGGCCTCCAGGGGCCGTCACAGAGCCCTGGGACCGTCGAACAACGACTCGGGATGAAAAAACGTTCCAGGGAATGGGTCCAAGGAACCACGAAACTGGCCCGTCGGCGAACCCGACCATCATTGTTTACGAAACGTGTCAGACGTGTGCCCAAACGGGGCGGGGCCGCCATGCGAACGCAGCCACTGGGGCCTGCGCTGGAGCTCCTTATGGGGCGATGAAGCGTGCCAGGGGTATGCCGGAGTGGGGCGGGACCGCCATGCGAACGCAGCCACTGGGGCCTTTGTTGGAGCGATCTATGGGGTCACGAAACGTGGGAGTGGTGTGCCAAAATGGGGCAGGGCCTCCATGCGAACGCGGCCACTGGGGCCTTTGGGGTAGCTCCCTACTTCAAGGGACAGGAAGCGCGTGAGGCGTATCCCGAAGTGGGCGGGGCCGCCACGCAAACGCGGCCGCTGCTAAGGCCTTCGGCGGAGCTTCCTACGGGGCCACGGTGTACCGCAGTGGGGCAGGAGAGCCATGCGAACGCAGCCGCTGGGGCTTTCAGTTGAGCTACCTATGGGGCCACGAAGCATGGTACGGCTGTGCCGAGATGGACATGCGCAAGCCAGAGGCAAGGACGGGAGGAGGCGGAGGAGGAGGTGGAGGAGGAGGAGGAGGAGCAGAAGGAGGAGGAGGAGGAGGAGCAGGAGGAGAAGGAGGAGGAGAGGGGGAGAAGGAAAGTGAGGTGGAGCGTGGCGCTGCAGAGTTCACAACGAGGGCCCAGCACCATAGGACGGTTGGGAAAAAACGCGACGCCGGATATCTGGAGGCGAAGACGGCAACGGCTAGCGGGACGATTACGGCGGCGACGGCGACAAGAGGAGAAATAACTACGTGACATGATCTTCTGGAGGTTCTTTGGCTCGGCGCTGGACCCCTCTCGCTGGCGCGCGGAACCTGCCAGGGGCGGCGTCAGAGGCACGGCCACGGGCGAGCCAGCGCCGATCCCAGAAACCCGAGCGGACATCCGAAAGTTTCGTGTTCGTGCTTCTCCGTCTGGACGACGAAGACGAGAACGATAACCACGACGACGACGACGACGACGACGACGACGACGACGACGACGACGACGACGACGACAACGGCGGCGGCGACCCCTGGAGATCCATGTAGGCCTCTGGAGGCCCAAAAAAGGGCCCGAAGGACGGTCAGGCCTCGTTGTCCTCGATCTCGGCCCGCCCAGCAGCCTCCTGTCGGAGCGCGCCAACTCCGGTCGGGAACTCTTGGATAGCGTGTGGCCACGGCGGCCCAGGCGACACGCCGTGCCCTGCGAGCGGATAGCGTGCCGCTCCGCTCCAACGGGGCGGGAGGCTTCCAAAGGCTCGGGACTGTGAAGCCTGGGGGCTGGGAAGTGGAGAGCGTGTCGCGTCGAAGCTCCTCCTCCTCCTCCTCCTCCTTCTCCTCCTCCTCCTCCTCCTCCTCCTCCTCCTCTTCTCCTCCTCCTCCTCCCCCGTGGTGGGCCAGAACCGGAGGAGAACCACGCCACGTGTACCCGGAAAGGTCCCGACCGTGTGCGCCCACACCCATTCTGGCGGGGCCGCCCCTTGGCCCACGGCATCGGAGCGCACAATTTCCTGGCCAGGCCGTGAGGGCGCACGCCCCGATCGTGGGCCCAGGATCTGGCCATCGCTCGGACGTCCTTTCCCTGTGCTTTTTGTTGGTTTCGTGCGTGGTTTTTTCGCCAAATGTCGTGGGCCCAGGATCTGGCCATCGCTCGGACGTCCTTTCCCTGTGCTTTTTGTTGGTTTCGTGCGTGGCTTTTTCGCCAGATGGTCAAGGATGCTCCTCGGTGGTCCTCGCCGAGGGAAAAATGCACACGTCCGAGCGATGCCAAGGGATGGGCCTGGCCATGGCCAGTGGAGGTGCGCAGAGCAGGGGCATCCCAGGACACGCGACGTCCTGCCGTGTTCAGTGCGGGGTCCCCGGACGTGCCCACGCTTCCCCCCCGGGACGGGTGCTGCATCCCGCGTCGTCTTGGACGGTCCTCGGGTCCAGTAGGAGGGCCCCCGGAGTCAGAAGATGGCAGACAGCCTCCGCCATGCTGTTGTTGTACGACGCGAGCCTGTCTGGGCCCATCTCGCCAAAAGCTGCCCTTCCCGAGGCTCCCCAGGACTTCCCTGGCGGCCCACTGCGGGGCCCCCGCGGCTTGACGCACCTCCGCGGCGTGCCCCACACCGCGCGAGGTGGAGAGGCCACGACGACAAGGTACCGATGCCGCTGCAGTCGACACTGATGACACGCACGCGCGAGAAAGGTGCGCGACACGGACCCTTTGGACGCCCGTGTTTGAGCTTCTTCGAGTGCGGCGGGTAATCGAGAGTGGTCAAGGATGGCCAGAAGGGCGCCGATGCCAAGGGTACCCTGGATGGGGCAATAATCGCCCCACCCCTTGGATCCGCGGGGGGGGGGTTGGGCACGTGCTGTCGGAATGGGTGGAGGGGGTGGGAGGAACAGGAGGAGGAGGAGGGGGAGGAGGATGGAGGGGAGCGGGACTGGGCAGGCGGCAGGCTTCATCAGTAGATTAATCACTCCCCCTTCTTCATTAAAAAAGAAGCATCCAGAGCACCCTCGGGAAGGTTACCCCTGGTTGCCAATCCAGCGGTGGCGACGAGGGCCTCCGAGGGGGCCCAGAGGGTGAGAACGAAGCATGGGCAATGGTGTCGGTATCCTTTCCTCCTGTGACCTGTTGCCCCATGGTAATTTTTTCCTCCTCTGACATAGCTCGGCTCCGCGCCCATGCGGGACGATCCGGTCTCCCCTGGAACGCTCTCGGCGAGGCGCAGCCGCTAGAAGGCATCCCGAGCTGGAAAGCCGCCGAGAACCGACAAAACAAGCAAAACAAACCTGGACAGACCAGAACGGTCCGCTTTCCTCGGGATCAGACATCCGACGTTGTGGTGATTTGTTCCACACGCGACGCGCGGCCCCCAGAATTCCCGACCCTTTCGCTGGGGCCGTCCTTTCATCCCGAGCAGTTTGTTGACGGCCTCAGGGCCAGGGCGAGAGCCCCGAAACCTGAGAGACGCCTCTGCCTTGATTTTTGCTCCCTGCGCTGGATGCTGGTCGGCAACGCTGAAGGGGCCCCAGGACACACAAATAAATACACACCAATAAAATGATTCCCCATATTTTCCCATATTATCTGGGTTTCTGTCTTCCCCCCCACTTCCCATATTTTAGCATGTTTTCCTGGGAATCGAGGATTAATTGTGTCTGTGTGTTTTTGTTCCCTCCTGAAACGCACTGACCCGAGTCAGGGCAGACCCTGGCCAGTCAGGCCGCGACCCGAGGCAGTGCAAAGCCCAGGCCAGTCGGGCGTTGCAGCATCCCGCAGGATCCTGCGCTCAAGCCCAGGTCAATGCACCCCTGGCCCTGCAGGATCCTACAAGATCCAGCGCTCTGGCTGACCCCCGAGGAGGAAGAGGAGGAGGAGGAGGAGGCGGAGGAGGAGGAGGAGGAGGAGGAGGAGGAGGAGGAGGGGAAAGAGAGGGAGAAGGAGGAGGAGGAGGAGAAGGAGGAGGAGAAGGCGGAGGGGAAGGAGGAGGATGAGGAGGAGGAAGAGGAGGAGAGGGGTTTGCACTGACCCCCGTCGGCTACACGCAGGAGTGACCTGTTGGGTGAGCGTGACCTCCCGGTGCGCGGCTTCTTGGGGGGGGCGGGGCCGCGGGCGGATAAAAAACCCGAGCGCGCAAGACCGCCGCTGCCGCCTCGCGCTCGTCGAGGACTGGGCCCCAGGGGACCCGCACCAAAGGCCACCCCAGCGAGAGGCCACTTTTACGTCTAGTAAAACAGGGCTATAGGATCGGGATAAATCGCTCCAGAGCGTTCCGGAGCGCTCTCAGAGCGTTCCGGAACGCTCTGGAGCGGCCGCGGCGCCCAATACATCCTCCAAACCCGCCGATTCTCAATGATTTCGAGTTATCCCGATCCGATTTTGTCCCGATCTTCGCGTCGTTTGATCACCCCAGCGAAGGGTCACTTTTAGGTCCAGTCGACCCCGTCTCGAGACTCCCGAGCTGAAAGCCACCGAGGGAGCCGGCCGGGCGTCGTCGAGACGCTCGCGGCGCCGCTCCCCATATGGGGAGCGGCGCTGCCCCGGGCGGGGTGGCTGCGGGCCCCTGCGCACACCCTTCGCGCTGGAATGTCTTTATTCCCCCCTCGTGTTCTTCCTCCGCCTCCGCCCCCGCTCCGCCTTCTCCTCCTCCTCCTCCGCCTCCTCCTCCTCCTCCGCCTCCGCCTCCGCCTCCTCCTCCTCCTCCTCCTCCTCCTCCTCCTCCTCCTCCTCTTCCGCTGTCGCCTCCGCCTCCGCCTCCGCCTCCACAGCCGCCTCCTCCTGCTCCTCCTCATGCTTCTGCTCCTGCTCCTGCTCCTCCTGCTCCTCCGCCTGCTCCTCCTACTCCTCCTCTGCCTGCTCCTGTTCCTGCTTCTCCTCCTGTTCCTCCTGCTTTTTTTACGCTGGACGAGCTGCTGGAGCAGGGCCGTAGCGCTCGATACTCCTCCTCCTCCTCCTCCTCCTCCTCCTCCTCCTCTCCTCCTCCTCCTCCTACTCCACCTCCTCCTCCCCTCCTCCTCCTCCTCCTCCTCCTCCTCCTCCTCCACCTCCTCCTCCGCCTCCTCCTCCTCCTCCTCCTCCTCCTCCTCCTCCTTCTGTTCCTCCGGGCAACGACGCCAACGTCCCATGGGGCGCGTCCCACCCCCGTCCTGCGTGCGGCGGCGCAGCAGCCCAAGGCAGAGCTCCTCGCAGCCCCGCGCCCCGAGCGGCTGCAGCCGCACCGCCGCGAAGGGAGCGCGCGGCGCCCACCTGCGCGCGCACCGCGGCGCCGTTCAGTCGGCCCCGAGAGGCCCCCGAGACGGCTTCCGACGGCGTCAGACGGGCCAGGAGCCCACCACGACGGCCCAAGATGGCTCCAAGATGGCCCAAGAGGGCCCCAAGGCTCAAGAGGTTGCCAAGACGGCCTGGGAGGCCGCCAAGAGGGCCCCCAGGAAGGCCCGAAGAGGCCTAAATCCGTGATTTTCCATACGTTGTTCAAGGATTTTGGCATTTGCGTCTTTTTTGCCTTCCCACGGCCCGAGACGGCTCAAGGGCCCCCCAAAAATCGCCCCAAGATCGCCAAAGAGGCCTCCAAGATGGCCCCATAACGGCCCAGGAGGCCCCCAAGACGGCCCCAAGGAGCCCCAAGACAGACCAAGAGGCATCCAAAACTTACAAGATGGCCTTCAAGACTGCCCTGGCGCCAAGAGGGCCCTAAGTCGGCCCAGACAGGCCCCCAAGACGGCTTCCGACTGCGTCTGACGGGCCAGGAGCCCACCAAGACGGCCCGTGATGACTCCAAGATGGCCCAAGACTGCCCAGGAGGCCCCCATGAGGGCGTCCAGGAAGGCCCAAAGAGGCCAAACTCATTGGTTTTCCATGTGGTTTGAAGGATTGTGGCATTTGCTTCTTGTCGGCCTTCCCACGGCCCGAGACGACCAAAGAGCCCCCCACGATCGCCCCAAGATCGCCCAAGAGGCCCCCAGGACGGCCCCCAAGGGGGTCCAAGACGGCCCAAGAGGCCTCCCAGATGCCTAAGATGGCCTCCAGGATGGCCCTGGAGCGCCCCAAGAGGGCCCCTAGTGGGCCCAGAGAGGCCCCTCAGACGGCTTCCGACGGCGCCAGACGGAGGAGGAGGAGGAGGAGGAGGAGGAGGAGGAGGATGAGGAGGAGCAGCAGGAATGCTTTAAGACGGCCTGCAGGCCCCGGAAAGTCCCCCAAGGTCCCCACGAGGCCCAAGGCGGCCCCCAAGATGCCTCTCAGAGGCTCCCATGAAGCTGCCAGGAGGCTCCAAGAGTGCCCCCAAAGGCTCCCAAGATGCCCCATCCTTTTACCTCCTCCTCCTCCTCCTCCTCCTCCTCCTCCTCCTCCTCCCCTCCTCCTCCTGGTCTTCCCGCCATCCTCCCCCAAGTGTTCCCCGAATAGTTTCTATAACGGCTGGGGGAACACATAGCCCGATAGCTTGGCAGAGCTCTTGCCACAACGCTCGGCCACGTGAGCGATTCCGCCTGGCAGGGGACGGCGGTGATTCGCCGCAGGCGTATTCGATAGCTGCCGAAAATGCGATCAATTAGCGTAGCCCCGCCCCCCAGCCTGACCCTCTCCAGCTGCACCCAGTGGGTCCCTCGCCCTGGGGACCACCGAGACGCGTTTGCAGAGGGTTCTCCGGGACTTCTGGGCCTCCTGGACGTCCCTCTCAGGCCCAGCCCGAAGCGGTCAGAGGGGTGGCCAAACGGCCCCGCGAGAGCCACAAAACTCAAAGCGGCTCCAGACACCCGCCAGACACCCGAAGACGGCCCAAAGACCAACGCAACAGAACAAACACATGCTTCCTGTACACCGCCCAAGAAGCCCCGAACATCATCCCAAAACTACCCCGAAAGGCCTTTCATACAGTCCAACAAAACCCCAAGACGGCCCAACGGGGCCCGTAGGTAGCCTGAAAATGGCCCCGGGGGTTGGTGTACTTCAGGAACAACCGATCCGGGGCTATGAACCCGGATAAACATCAGAACTCACAATAATCATTCAGACCAGACTCCAAAGCATCAGAATATCACGAGGATCAGGACGCAAGGGTACATCAAAGTCGTGATGAAAAGTGAAGAGCACAGGGAAGTATTCCAACCACTTTCGTTCATGTCAAGTCACCAACAGAGGAGTAAGAAGGGTAATCCAGCAAAGTGAAAGACAATTTCTGGTATCACATGGTTGAGCATCAGACAAGTCGGGCGACTCTGGAAGAGTGATTTTCGCCACTTCTTCTGAGGAGAGCTGACTCGAAAATTGTATGCCCGAGGCGCACCAAGCAAACGGCTTCTGGTTGGGTGTACGATTTTCGCCCGGTGGTTATGAGGACACGCCCGGTGCTTATGAGAACACGCCCGGCTCTGAAAGACTGATTTTCGCCCGGTGCCTATGAGGACACGCCCGGGCGGCTTCTGGTGTCACTTTATTGGTCGCGTGGTGGCCACAAGAGCGGCGTTGGAAGAGACATAGTGCATACCCATACGGACCTGCACCACCATCAACTCTGAACGTCTTGAGGCACTCCTGTGGGCTGAGTACGCGATCCAACAACTCGCGCTGGCAACACGAGGCTGCCTGCTCCACCAACTTGGCCCCACGACGCCCCCAGAGCAATCCACATCGTGACCTGGCCCTTCAGGGAAAGCCGCGGATCTCAGCAACGTGACCCGAAGAAGCTCCCGGAGCGTCCCAAAGGCGCCCGGGAGGCCTGCAGGAACAAACTCCTAGAAAAGGCTTCGTGGCGCCCCCTGAAGGCGGTCCAATCCCAAGGACGAGCCTCCACAAACAAAAACAGAGGAGGACAGGGAACGGTTCGCAGGGTAAGGTGGAAACGAGGAAGAGGAACTGGAGGATAAAAAGAACATGAACAACACACACACTCACACTTGAGAACGACAATGACCAAAACGGCGACAATGACTTAGCGCTGTTTGGATATATGCCATCTGTTTTTTTCTCCCTCTCTCTCTCTCGCTCTCTCTCTCTGTTTTTTTCCCTCTCCCTGTCTCTCTCTCTCTCTCTCTCTGTCTTTTCTCGCCCGCAGGCCGCAATTGACGTCACAAGGTGCATGCAGCGACGCGCCAAGCCAGGCCTATAACATTGTAGAGGTGTTGGTGGTCAGCGATGCAGGGGGGACCAGTTCAGCGGGGGAAAGCATCGACATGGGACTGGTGATATATCGCCGATAGATCGGCGATAGGCCCGCGATAGCGAATCCACACGTTCCTGGGGAAACTTCGGCTATCGGGCACAAATCGGCGATGAACGGGCGATTTGAGGTCACTGCGTCCCCGCTTCTGAGCCTATTTCCCCAACTCCGTTGCCTCTGATCTATACATATCCGTGTATGTATGCATGTATGTATGTATGTACGTACGTACGTATGTATGTATGTACGTACGTACGTATGTATGCATGTATGTATGTGTGTGCATGCATGTATGCATGTACGTATGTGCGTACGTACGTATGTATGTATGTACGTGTGTATGCATGTATGAGTTAATATATGTATGTATGCATGGATGGATGGATTGATGCATGGATGGATTGGTGGATGGAAGGATGTATGGCTGTGTATATGTGTGTATGTATACGTGCACACACAAGTATTTATGTATGTGTATATATACAGATGCCCGATGAACCCGAAAGACGGCGCGATAAGGGTAACAACGGGGAAGACCGAAGTGCCAGTGAGTTGTCTTTTATGTCTGGCGCTGCCTGGGGCCCTGTGCGCAGGGGACCTGCCACGCGCAGGAACTTGATGCCCCAGGGTGGTTGTGGGTGGACTGCTTGTCCTGAACGGGGGCCGAGCGCCTGATCCCAAACGGCCTCAAAACGTCGGGCAGGAAAAGAAATACACACTCGCGTCGACGGGGCGCATCCTCGATGAGCCCTGAAGGCCGTGCGATAGCGGGAAAAGGGGGGGAAGAGTGAGGAGACAACGACTCTCCCTTCCTTGTATGCGTGGTGGTGCTGGGGGCCCTGGCGCCGGCCCCCGAATGTCCTCCGCCGTCCAAGCGGCCCTTGGCCGAAAGCTGCTGCCCGACGGGGGGCGGGGGGCCGCGGTCCTCCTGCGCCGCGTGCTGCCCCACCTGCCAAGGGGGGGGGCCCCTGGCCCCGCCCTGCGCGTGGCCTCCGTGGAAGGCCGCGGCCCGCCCAGGGAGCCTACCTCGCCATCGCTCGGACGTCCATTCCCTGTGTTTTTCTGTCGGTTGCGTGCGTGGCTTCTTCGCCAGATGATAAAGGATGCTCCTCGATGGTCCTCGCCGAAAGAACAACGCACACATCCCAGCGGTGCCGAGCTACTGCGAACCGTGGCTCAAGGTGACGGCGGCGTCGCCAGCGCGCCCTCCTCCTCGGAGGTCGGCCCGCCCTCGCCCGCGGGGCTCGCCCCGCTGGGCGCGTGCCCCGCTGGAGCGCCGTCGGCGCGGCTCTCTCTGCCGCGTGCTGAGCTGCTTGCGCCCTCTGCCGCAGCTGCCCGCCGCACTCCTCTGGCACGCCTGGCCGCCCGGGCAGCTCCACGCAGCCCTTGGCCCTCGGCGGCGTTGGCGACCTCCCTGCCGACGTCTGCGTTGGGCCTCCGTCCGAAAAAGGCCCCCGCACCTCCTGAGCCGTTCGCCCACCCCGTCCTCGACGCCCCTGATCGTCTGCAGCCTCTGCCCCCGAGTCCGTCGCGCCTCCTCCATCAGGCCCCTGCCTGGAGTGACTGGCGCTCGCCTGCCTGGCGCCCCACGTTGCAGGGCACCGGTATGTCCTTCTCGCGGAGGGCGCCCTCCAGCAATGTCCGCGTCGACGCGGCTGCCATTCCTCTTCCGACTGCGGTGCCGCGGATGGCCCCATGCCCAGGAGCCGCAATCTCCGGCCGCGGTGGGCCGGGCGCCTGCTCTGGGGAGCTGAGAGAGGCGCGATCGCGACATGCACCGGGTTCTCTTTCTGCCGCCGCGGCCGCTCCTCGGACCTCCACGCCCACGGGCGGGGAGGCCCAGTGGCCTCCCCAACCCAGTTACTTCCTGGCTCGTCTACCCGCGTCGGCATCGCGCAGCGCACCCACTCCTTCGGTTTGAGGCGGGGCTGTCCTGCACTGCAGGCACACGTGCATGGTGTGGCTATCTCTACCGATGGCGATGGTGAGTTTTGCCGCAGCTCACATTCGCACGTCTTGCAGGACAGCCTCGTAGATGTCCTTCAAACGGACGTTCGGTACCACAGGGCCGTCAGGGCCGTTCTTGCTCCTCGATTGCGTACTCGATGGGCCAGGTTTGCTGCGACCGCGACTCTTTCTTTTGCTTCTCAAGTTGCCCAATTCGCACTTCAAGCTATGCGTCCCCGGCCTTCGCCAATAATCCTTGTCACCGTGCAGTTTGTCCCCGTGGAATCTTGAGCACATGTAGCAACACTTGCGCCCAGGATCCGGGATAATGATGAAGAGTGCTCTTTGGCACTCGGTGCCCATGACCTTGGCGCCGTACTGGTTTCCGACGATTGAGCTGATGTTCTGGACGCATGGAACCCACTCATCCTCGTATGCCAGGACAAAGAGCGATAACTACAAAGCCGTGCGTTTCCTGACGGTCCCTACAGAAACGGCGCATAAGCAACAAGGTTGGCCACGACCGCGTGGCCACCCACCAGCAACTCGTGCCGTCGGCCTCCTTGGCCAAGGTCGTGAACCTCATTTCGGGTGTGCCATCCGAGGCCACGCGCCCTTCCCAGACCTCTCGCTGGCCCTCTCCGCCAGCGGGCGAAGCTCGGCGGGCGGGCGACTCTGCCAGCCTGGCGGCCGCCGCAGAGGGCTCCACCCGGATCCCGCCACGGCAGGTCGTGCGGAGCGCCGCCCCGCGCCCCCGACACTTCTCCACGGCCCTCTGCCCGGCGGCCTGGCTCCCGTCCAGGAGGGTCGTGCGGCGCGCTGCCCCGTACTCGGCCCAGCTCTGGAGTCCGCCGCCTCGGCTCCCTCCGCCTTCCGCCTGTGGGCGACGGCATGGCAAGCGCCAGGGAGTCTGAACTCCTCGCTCCGCCGCGGCGCGGCGTCCTGCCCAAGGGCCAGCTGCATCGCCCAACCGCTACCCTGAAACGGCCGAGCGCCTGAACCCAAATGGCCACGGACGTCGGGCAGGAAAGAGGGTGCACGTTCGTGTTGACGCACTGGGGCTCGTAAGCATGAGCGCGCGCACATGTTGCACGCTCCGGCTCCCGTCTGTGGCGTAGGATCGGCGCCCTCTTCCTCTTCACTCTGCTCTGGGGCGGGAAGAGGACCTGCCGATCGGCTGCGCCTCCAGAACCTCAGGCCGAGTCGTCGCCACTGCCCAGCGCGCGTCGGTGTCTTCCTGCGCCGAAGGGCCATCCCCCCTCTTCCTCGTCCTACTTCCTCCTCCTCCTCCTCCTCTTCCTCCTCCTCCTGCTCATGCCTCCTGCCTCATGCCTCCTGCCACCTGCCTCCTGTCACCTACCTGCTACTCCTCCTCCGCCTCCTCCTCATCTTCCTCCTCCTCCTCCTCCGCCTCCTCCTTTATCCTATTCCAATTCCTCCTCCTCCTCCTCCTCCTCCTCCTCCTCCTCCTCCTCCTCCTCATCCTCATCATCATCATCAGCATCATCATCATCATCATCATCATCATCATCATCATCATCATCATCATCATCATCATCATCATCATCATCATCATCATCATCATCATCATCATCATCATCATCATCATCATCATCATCATCATCATCATCATCATCATCATCATCATCATCATCATCTTTCCTCCTCCTCCTGCCTCCTGCCTCCTCCTCCTCCGCCTCATCCTCCTCCGCCTCCTCCTCCTCCTCTTCCTCCTCTTCCTCCTCTCTCCTCCTTTTCCTCCTCCTCCTCCTCCTCCTCTTCCAACTCATCATGCTCCTCCTGCCTCCTTCTCGTAGCCCGTTTTCTTCTCCTCCTCCTGCTCCTCCTACTGTCCCTTCCTCCTCCTCCTCCTCCTCCTCCGCCTCCTCCTCCTCCACCTCCTCCTCCTCCTGCTCCTCTGCCTCTTCCTTCGCATCCGCCTCATCTTCCGTCTGCCTTCTCCTCCACCTCCTCCTCCTCCTCCTCCTTCGTGCTACTCCACTCCACTTCCTCATCCTCACCCCCCTCCTCGGCCTCCTCCTCCTCCTCATCATCATCATGATCAGCATCAGCTTCATCATACTTCCTTCTTCTACCCTCATCCTATTCACAATCCTTCTTCTTCTACTGTCCCCCGCAACCTCCAGCTCCACCACCACCTCCTCCTCCTCCGCCTCCTTCTCCCCATCATCCTTCCCTCCTCCTCCTCCTCCTCCTCCTCCTCAGCAGCAGCAGCATCAGCATCAGCATCATCATCAGCATCATCATCATCATCATCATCATCATCGTCAGCATCGTCATCATTATTATCATCATCATCATCGTCATCATCATCATCATCATCATCATCATCATCATCATCATCATCATCATCATCATCATCATCATCATCATCATCATCAGCATCATCATCATCATCATCAGCATCATCATCATCATCAGCAGCATCATCTTCCTCCTCCTGCTCCTCGCCCTCCTTCCCTTCCTTCTCCTCTTCCTCCTCCATCCCTTCCTGCCTCTCGTCCTCCTCCTCCTCCTCCTCCTCCTCCTCCTCCTCCTCCTCCTCCTCCTCCTCCTCTAGGTCCTCTAGGTGCTTGGCGCACCACGTCCCGCTGCTGCAACACGTGGCACAAAAAGGGGGGGTAATAAATAACGCACGGCACTTAGAGGGGCCTTTCTCTCTTAAGGGGAACGGATCGGCCGAATCCCGCACCCGAGCATGGGTCAATCCCCCCTTTGAGGAGACTCAGGGAGTGAGACGCATCCTTATTCCGAGGCCCGCCGTTGCAGGCCTTGGCGAGGAGGACCACCTTCTTAGTGCCGAGCGCCCCACAGACGCAGCACCACACTCGGCCTCCTTCACCACTCCAAAGCCGATGGGAAGGGTGGGCCAAACGAGCGGGTCTGGGGAGTCCAGTACAGGGAAACGTTGAACTCGAATTTCCCGACCAATCTCGAATTCCACAACGCACGCAAGCAGATCTCTTGCCCACTCGCACAAACTCATGCCCATTTGGGCTCTGACACGAGTTCTAAAACTTCTGGAGCTTTGTACCGCTTCGCGCGGATCTTGTCAGCATCTTTGAAATTCATCTTAGATAACGCGCCCCCGATGCCCGCCACCAAAACAGCACGGCCCCGCACTTGGAAGTCGAGGGCTTTCAGCTCGGAAATCAGCTGCGGGGGGACGGGGTGCATCTTGGCCCCTAGTTTGGCCAGGCGGTCTGCTTCGCGATTACCTCTCCAGGCCCACCAAGCACAGCCTAGAGCAGACGCCTTGGCCCAAGACTGGTGGCCACGAATTTTCTCAACTGAAATCGGCGCGGTTAAATCTTCACTCCTGCGGAAAATCTCGCGCCAGACCTCTGCGTACGCCACAGTGTCTAGGCTCTGGTCACAGCCAGCTTGCCAGGTGTCTACAACCATTTTACAATCACACACTACATGCACGGGCTCGACCCCCACGTTTTTGATAAGCATGAGCAGAGCATACACTTCGGCACACCCCGACTGCTGAACGGGGCGGGGCAGGGGCCCGTATAAAGCCCCGTCCCAATCTCCGTGGCGATCCACCTGGACAATCCCCCAACCAGCCCTCTCCAGGGCCAGGTCGCCAGGGGAGAAGGCCGATCCGTCGATCGCCACATTGCCACGGAATACGCCGTTGGGGGGCAGAACGCTCCAGACTTGATCCTGACGGGGGGGAGGGGCCTCGAAAGCCAGGCTGGGGACAAGACGTCTAGCGGTACGAACGTCGTACTGCGGAGCCTGTTCGAAGTCTGCAATCGCCTCTGGCATGTCCAACTCTCTGCGGGTCCACCATGCCGCTGGGCAGCCCACCATCCTGTGCCGAGGTGTGCCGAGGGCGCCGCAGAACTTGCACTCAGGGCTGATCGCCCTCCGATCACTGAAAAGGATGCCCTGCGTCGGGTAGCCGCCCGCCACGGAGCCTGCCAAGAACGCACCCCCGGCAAGCTGGCCCCGAGAACGAAGCTGCCTCAGGGTATCTATGATGGGCTCAAAGCGCGGGCATCCAGCCAAGACACTCCCGTGGTAGCTGATCCCCTTGAGGCCCTGCTGCAAGGACAACTTGGTGCCAGAAACAACCCGAGTTTTGAGAGACGTCTTTTCCAAGTACCCGAAGTCAAACAACACGCCTCTGGAGTCCTTCCAAACTACTTGGTGACTGGCGGACCATCCCATACGCTTCAAGGTGCAGTATACAGCACCCCAAGGACTGTGGACATGCTTCCAATCAAACCCAGGGAACTGCAGGGCAGCCCCGAAAATATTGGTGAGGATACTTCTGGGCAACCACAGCTCGCGCCAGGCCTGCACCCAGGACTGGAGGGGGAGGAGGTTAGCCTGGAAGGTGGGGTCGAGGGTCGGGTCGGCGCACAGCTGGAACTCCAGGGTTCTCGAACGGCCCCTTGATACACCGAAAGCGCTGCGAGCAATAACCGATCTAATCTGTCCTAGCCTTTTGCTGGAGACTCCATGCACACGAGCACCGTACATGCCAGCTGGGAGACCTCCAGTCTTCAAAATATGCTTAGCACCGACGGCGGCCGAACGGAGAGCTCGAATTCGGTGGGCCCTGGGCTGGAGTTCGCCCATACGACCAAGATGGACTTTAGCACCTATCCTCCCCCTGACCTTAAAATCAACACCCAAGTTCTTGGTAGACTGACTGTTACGAAACTTCCAACGCTTCAACTTGTTAGCGATGTCCTTCGAAATCCAGCCCTGGGTAGCGACCACCACGCCTTTAGTCCTGGACACAATGAGGCACATCCTCTCAAGCTGCTGGCATAGGAAGAAACTGGCGAGGCCAAGACCGTTCGCAACGATCGTGCCTTTCCCCGCCATGCACAGGGTGATGTCATCCACCACGTTATAGATTCTGAGAAAACGAAACGTATCGGCGAGCAAGTCGAGGGGGTCGAGGAGGAAGACCTTCAAGAGGGTAGTGGCGAACGTGCACCCCGCCAGAATTTCCTGGATGTCAAACACTCCTCTCGAACATAGCTTCCCCAGGAGAACATGTCGCTGGCCCCGATACACGGTCAACGGGTACCGAAAGATCAAAACATTGAAATTGTGTGTGATTGCATGTCCTCCTCCGCCTCCTCCCTCTCCTCCTCGTCTTCCTCCTCCTCCTCCTCCTCCGCCTCCCCCTCCTCCTCCTCCTCCTCCTCCTCCTCCTCCTCCTCCGCCTCCTCCTCATCTTCGTCCTCCGCCTCCTCCTCCTTCTTCTCCTCCTCGTCCTCCTCATCTTCCTCCTCCTCCTCCTCCTCCTTCGCCTCCTCCTCCTCTTTCTCCTCCTCATCATCCTCCTCCTCCCCCCCTCCTCTTCCCCCTCCTCCTCCTCGACACAGCCCTGCGCAACGATAGTCTCGCTGCACACCTTTGAGTACATGGGTGGCGCTTCCCCTTTGATGTGGGGCCATTACCACTTGCGCCACCATGCACTCACGTTCACCCCTCGGGTGAAACGACAAAAACTCCGACGAGTTAAGTGCGGGAGGAGCCAGACTCTCCAGCGCGAACCAAGAGGCCCGAGCGGAGTGGCTCCACAAGCAGGTGCCACTCCTTATTCACAGAGAACCGCGCAGGAGCGCGGCCCAGGTTCGACAACACCCTCGCTCCCCACGACCGCGGCGGCGGCGGCCCAGCACAGCTGGTGGAGAGCGAGGCCGAGACCAGAGTCCCCCCACACCCACACACGACACACACCACACACCACATCCGCCCAGCCTCCCCGCCCACCTGAAACGGGTGAATGATATGCTGCCTGCCAGGTGCCGTAGCCGCGCGCGTGCACGCAAGGTCAGCGCGCGAAAGCACATGCGGCACCACGGCAGGCGGCGGCAGCACGACGAGGGGCGGCTGGCGGGGTCCGCGCGCCCGCGCCGTCCTCTCCTTGTCGGAGACGTGCACAGCGTCGAGGTCGGCCATGATGGGCCCAATCTTGGCGACCCAGGCGGCAAGACGCGAGAGAACCTTGGCTTTGGCCTGATGCGCCTGCCGCACAGGCCAGGGCACTCTCGATCTGTCAGCCTGCCATCGGGCCCAATCATCTTCCCCCTCCTCCTCCTCCTCCTCCTCCTCCTCCTCCTTCTCCTCCTCCTCCTCCTCCTGCTCCTCTCCTAATTCCGCCTCCTCCTCCTCCTCCTCCTCCTCCTCCTCCTCCCCTTCCTCCTCCTCTTCCTCCTGCGCGTCCTCGCTCCTCCTCCT